GACAACTAAATAAATGAATCTATTGAAAGAAAGAAAAATAATAAACTGTTGCAACAACAAACAAATATTTTTATTTTCAAACACTGAAAATCAGAAAATAAAAGTGTCAGACATTTGTCTGCTGCACTCCCAGTCAAAATAAAGATTTACTACAACCGCACAGCCACAGCACACTGCAAGTGCATGAGCTGTGCTGTGCAAATCATAAACTACACAAGTTTAACTAAACAATTACAAAAGTAATTATTCAATATAATGACAGTTGGCTGTTTGGAAAAAATGAAAAATAATCAGACATGTTGGTGGATTGGTAGTCAGTTAGTGTAAATTGGTGGCAATGGTAGTCGCAAGTAACGCAGCCACATTTGCTAATCATTTCAACATTAATTTGAATGATATTTGCAATCTACTTGTAGTTTAGCTTTACTTGCAGACAGAAGTGTAAATATATGCATTCTCGATAGATTAGTATGCAGTTTAGTTCTAGTTCAGTTCTAGTTCAGTTCTGGTTCAGTTCTAGTTCAGTTCTAGTTCTGTTCTAGTTCAGTTCTAGTTCAGTTCTAGTTCAGTTCTAGTTCAGTTCTAGTTCAGTTCTAGTTCAGTTCTAGTTCAGTTCTAGTTCAGTTCTAGTTCAGTTCTAGTTCAGTTCTAGTTCAGTTCTAGTTCAGTTCTAGTTCAGTTCTAGTTCAGTTCTAGTTCAGTTCTAGTTCAGTTCTAGTTCAGTTCTAGTTCAGTTCTAGTTCAGTTCTAGTTCAGTTCTAGTTCAGTTCTAGTTCAGTTCTAGTTCAGTTCTAGTTCAATTCTAGTTCAGTTCTAGTTCTGTTCTAGTTCAGTTCTAGTTCAGTTCTAGTTCAGTTCTAGTTCAGTTCTAGTTCAGTTCTAGTTCAGTTCAGTTCTAGTTCAGTTCAGTTCTAGTTCAGTTCTAGTTCAGTTCAGTTCTAGTTCAGTTCTAGTTCAGTTCAGTTCTAGTTCAGTTCTAGTTCAGTTCTAGTTCAGTTCTAGTTCAGTTCTAGTTCTAGTTCAGTTCTAGTTTCAGTTCTAGTTCAGTTCTAGTTCAGTTCTAGTTCAGTTCAGTTCTAGTTCAGTTCTAGTTCAGTTCTAGTTCAGTTCTAGTTCAGTAGTTCAGTTCTAGTTCAGTTCTAGTTCAGTTCTAGTTCAGTTCTAGTTCAGTTCTAGTTCAGTTCTAGTTCAGTTCTAGTTCAGTTCTAGTTCAGTTCTAGTTCAGTTCTAGTTCAGTTCTAGTTCAGTTCTAGTTCAGTTCTAGTTCAGTTCTAGTTCAGTTCTAGTTCAGTTCTAGTTCAGTTCTAGTTCAGTTCTAGTTCAGTTCTAGTTCAGTTCTAGTTCAGTTCTAGTTCAGTTCTAGTTCAGTTCTAGTTCAGTTCTAGTTCAGTTCTAGTTCAGTTCTAGTTCAGTTCTAGTTCAGTTCTAGTTCAGTAGTTCAGTTCTAGTTCAGTTCTAGTCAGTTCTAGTTCAGTTCTAGTTCAGTTCTAGTTCAGTTCTAGTTCAGTTCTAGTTCAGTTCTAGTTCAGTTCTAGTTCAGTTCTAGTTCAGTTCTAGTTCAGTTCTAGTTCAGTTCTAGTTCAGTTCTAGTTCAGTTCTAGTTCAGTTCTAGTTCAGTTCTAGTTCAGTTCTAGTTCAGTTCTAGTTCAGTTCTAGTTTCAGTTCTAGTTCAGTTCTAATTCTATCTGTTCTAGTTCAGTTCGAATTCAGTTCTAGTTCTTTTCCACAGTAAGTTTCTTCACAAATCCATGATTAAATACCTTTAAACAAATGTTTAAACACACTGTACATTTATTTATTTGACACACTGTTATCTCTATATAGTCTACTGATACTGAAGATGGAAAAAACAAATAAATTACATTTACAAACAACCAAGACTTTCCGGACAAACAGACATTGGCTGGTAGAATGAGTGTGTAATCTATTACTATTGTTAGTTAGTTATTTAACATGTAATGACAGTTTGCAAATTATATAGTAGTATATTTTACAAAATCATGCAACAATGTGTGGCAATCACACAAATCATTAAAGAAAAGGGAAGTGGAAAAATCAAATGCAAAAGGTACTCATAAATTTTGTAAATTACCAACTAGGAAATCTTAAATTTTATCTTTATCGTTTAGGAGTTGTAAGGAAACTAGAGAGAGAGAGAGAGAGAGAGAGAGAGAGAGAGAGAGAGAGAAGGGTTCAAATGAGAGAATGAAAATGAGAAAATTTAAAAAATTTTAAATATTTAAAACCTTATTGCTTTAAGTACTGACATTTAAACAAAAAATTGCAATTAAATTAAATACATATACAACTTAATAAAAAAAAGCTTTTAAATGGAACGTGTGTCCAAGAGTTGCCAGAGAATCAAAATTCTAACTTTATATGAAAACTTCTATTCTATTGAAGTTTTAGAAATTCTATTGGAATCAGATATAGGCAAAGAGCTCTCTTGCTTTCACACATATGTATGTAGTTAAGCTTACACATGTATAAAACACATATAGAATCAATCAGAGAGCATAGTAATCACTCATATAGAGTTGAAAAGATTTCCCCTCCTTTAGCAACACTGATCAGTCTCATTTTATAAAAGAGAATATAAAAAATGCATAAAATTTTAAATATTTCCATTTGAAACTTATCAATTCTAATAAAACAAATATTTGTTTAAAACTTTGACGTCATTATATGAAAAGTTACTTTTTTTTCTTTCATATTTCTCTATGTTATCAGCATTTAACGAGTATTACTTTACGCTCTATATATTTGTTTAAATTTTATAATACATGTGACTAATTTTAAATTAATAATAAAAATATATATAAAGCATAGTACCGTTAACAGAATTCATTTAGTAATTTTTTAGAAAAAGAGTTAGCGAAATATAAAATATTTAAATGAAACGATTTCTTTGTAAAACATTTTATGAATAAGATTTGTCAGATCATATTTGTTATTCAAATAGGGGAAGAATTTTCTGAAATAGAGGGAATTGTTAGAAATGTCATTATGATATAAATTCAACTTCGTCAGAAATTTGTCATTCTGTTGGTAATTTAAAGAATATAAATTTCCGATACTTATCGCTAGCGGAGTCTATTAATATTTGTCTATCTATCTGTTAAAATCAATTATCTGAGGACCCCTGATATCCTAAATAATTCCATCTGAAATGTTTTCTAAAAGGTTTCTATTTCAAATCAGATAAATCGGCCCCTAAAATCCGATAACAACCCATGAAAATATTGTTAAAATAAAGGATTTCTTGTCGGCATGAAAACAGCAACTACACTATAGTTAGTTTTGATAGCAAGAAGCTTCTGAAATCGGGGATGGAAACAATTTAAAATTCAAAATTTTATTTATTTTTTTTTTAATTTTAAATACGAATTCTAAAATTTTAAGAAATATTAAAAAAATTAAGAACATTTAAAAATGTTTGAATGATTCAGAATCTATAAGCGGAAACTTTTTGGTACTTTTTTTGTTCTTCAAAAGGTACTTTTTGAATTTGAAATAATATTGAATAATGATTTATTATGAAGCTTTCTTTGATACCTTTAAAATTGTCTACAGTCCTGATAGAATAAGAATCTACAAAAGTGAATTACTTTTTAGTACTTTATCCCCCAAATGGTACTTTTTGAATTTCATATAATATTAAACGAAGAAATAAAAAATTTAAAATGGGGTCCATCATCATTCCCCTTATAACAAATGAAATATTGGTCTAAGACCTATTAAAGGTATAGGTATATTCTGGGTTCATATTAGATTCTAAGACGATCTAGACATGTCCCTGTGTCTGTTGAAAACACTATATAGACCAATCGAAATAAGCTGACATTTCGCCAAAGTATTTTCAGTTGATGCAGTTTGTTTGGTATTGAAAATGGGCAATATCGGTTCACGAATTCGTGTCTATAACGCTAGTAATTGCCTTAATTTTATGAAGATCGAGGAGGTCCTATCTTCCCCAATAAGGTTCCCCTCAGAAAATGACTTTGCTACAAAATTCTAATATAGCAAAGAAATTCGACATAAACCGGTTTTTAATGGAATTAAAATCTCTCAGTCAACTTTAATGAGAGTCGGTCCATAATTGGCCCTTATCACCCATATAAAGTTCTGTTCAAAAGAAAATGACTTTAACGTCCATAACTTGCTTCAAAAGTAACGAAATTCGACATAGACAAGTTTTATAGGAATTAAAATCTCTCTTCCAAATTTAAGAGAATCTGTCCATAATTGTACCTAAATCCCATATAAGGTGCTTCTCATGAAACGCACATTACAGGCTTAAAAATACCAGTACAGCAATGAAAATCAAGACCCCATATGAGATACTCTTTAGAACTGTTTTAAAAAATACAAGTACACAGAGGGAAAAGGAAATATATAGTACACGCCTGGTACCAAATTGACACCAAACTGTTTATAATTTTTTCAATACCATCCGTGAGCTTACCACGTTTGTTAACATTTAGACAACGGATGTGTATAAAATTTAGATTTCGACCATGAATTGTTGCAATGCTGACAACGTTGCGTTGTCAACATTACATAGTGTTGTCGTACGTATGTATATACTCTGACAACGGATGTTATTGAAAAATTATAAACTCTTTGGTGTCAATTTGGCACTAGGCGTGTATATTTCCATTTCCTCTGTGTAGGTCGAAGAAATTTGATATGAAAAAGTTTTTTATTTTATGAACCAATATCTCTCTACCAAGGGGCTAAAAAGAATATCCCTCCCATTATGAACTATAAATCGCTTAAAAATCAAGGTATTAAGTGAAATTCAACAAAATGTTATATGTTATTAGAAATTAGTTACTGCCTCGAAATGTGAAGAGCTCAATCTGTGATTGACTCAAGTTCCCATAAAAGAATCGAATCCGAAAATAACTATGAAGCTTATATTTATATCGGTATATGTATGACATAATATCGAATATAACATTCTGGCGATATTTAATTTCTATTTGGATAGCACTTACCTTTGCTGCGGTTATATAGAGCAATATTTTCTGAAATTATCAGAGTCAGAGATCTGAAATTAAAAAGTAAAATCTAGTTTAGAATATTTATAAAATTATCTATAAAAAGAGTTTATAAGATAATAATTGTTTTAAGATGTGCGAGGAGTTACAAATCGGATTAACCTATGTGTGGATTTGAAATTTGAAAGTGAGGAAAATATTTTAGTTTTTATTGCCATTTAGTTTAAATTATTTACAAAAATTCTGAAATACCTTAAGCTTTTGGAACTTGTTTTAACCACAATTCCCCCAAACGCAAACCCTTGCAGTTATTTTTTGATTTTGAACATGACAACTCCATTAAATATTTATGAGTTTTTATCTTTAATATATAAAACTGAAGTTTGCAATTTTTTAGCAAGTTATTATTAATCTAGACAATGTTAAACACAAAATTCAAAAATTACGAAAATCTTATCGAATCTGTATATAGAACTTCTTTTTATTTAAAACTATTTTTATGTAATTTCCATCATCACGCATGTAAAAAAACAATTTTCAACTCTTAAGTGGAAAAAAAGTAAAATAAAACATTGTAATTTGTGTCAGTCATTAAGATTGATACATGTTTTACGTTTCGCATATCGAAAGGGTTATTCAAGAAGAGAGAAGAATCGACTTTTAAAACTAAACCGAATGTTTTGAGTACCGTTTCATTAAATTAATGTATCTTTGTTAATAATATGACAACAAATCATTAATTTAACGAAACTTTGTCATATATGTAATGAATTGGTTTAATGACATTGCTGCACTAATATCCTTCATTAATGTAATGTAATTTTTACATTTAAACAATGAATTTTGTCATTCATTTTCCTAAATTGTTTCATAAATAGAAATTCATTAATGAAATTAAATATTTTATTAATATAATGATTAAAATACTTTATTTAAAATTTTCATTATTTCATGATTTTAAGAAAAGATTTCATTCTAAAAACAATTTCTTTCATAATAATAATGAACAAATTCCTCTTAGAGGCAAAAACTTCTAATCAGAAACATTTCATTAAATACTCTAAATTAATGAATATTCAAAAAAATATCTTAAAATTCAAACACCTTCTAGTAGCACCCTTTTACAACTCCCTAGGCTAAGAAAGATTCAAAACGTACATCAACTGACACAATGGTATTCCTTCATTACACGCTAAACAGATTCACTGAAATTTACTTTAAATAAAAAGAAAACTGAAAATAAAAAGCGAACGTGTAAAACACCCAATACTGTGCAGTTCATCTTAAAAACATTAAAATTCAGTTTACTATACAAAAGGAAGCCAAACAGCAGCAGCAGCAAGATCCTCACGTGAACATGCAACAATAAAAATCCAAAAATAGCATAAAATTACATTAACAAAAAATCGAAACGCAACAAAAATAAAATAAATAATAAAAATAGGAAATCATGCAACAGCAAATAGTGAACTTGACCTTGGCATATCCAAACTAATGGCTAAAGACAAACACACCAACCAACCAGTTGGTTAGCCAAGCCAACAAATACCTCAGCACAGCCAACAAAACGTAACTATTGCCAAGGTAACCGCTAATTGTTGCAAACATGTCAAGAAGCCACAACAAATCTTAAAACTAAACATTAAAATGACGTTAAACCAACTTTAAAATTTTTTACTAAAAATACCATAAATATAAACAAATCCTTTTCAATCTGTAGTTTTTAACTTGTTTTGACCAAAATATAAAATCACAAGATCAAGAGTGAGTTAGTTAGTTTAATAGTTGTACTAGTAGTTTTATGTTTATTTAACAGTTTGTTTTAAAAACATTTTATTTAGGAGTTGCCAAACTGGACTAAAGGCTAAACTACAGTCTGAAGTATAGGTTAAACTACAATCAAGTCTAGGCTATAGTCTAGCCTAAGTTACAGTCTAGTCTATAGTGTGGTCTATAGTCTGTTTTATAGTCTTGTTTATGGTCTAGTCTATAGTGTAGACAAAAGTCTGTTCCATAATCTGGTCTATAGTCTGATCTATAGTCTAGTCAATAGTCTGTTCTATAGTCTAGTCTATAGTCTAGTCTATAGGCTAGTCTATAGTCTAGTCTATAGGGGGGTCTGTAGTCTGATCTGCAGTCTGGTCCATAATATGGTCTATAGTAGTGTATATAGTCTAGTCTATAGTCTAGTCTATAGTCTAGTCTATAGTCTAGTCTATAGTCTAGTCTATAGTCTAGTCTATAGTCTAGTCTATAGTCTAGTCTATAGTCTAGTCTATAGTCTAGTCTATAGTCTAGTCTATAGTCTAGTCTATAGTCTAGTCTATAGTCTAGTCTATAGTCTAGTCTATAGTCTAGTCTATAGTCTAGTCTATAGTCTAGTCTATAGTCTAGTCTAGTCTATAGTCTAGTCTAGTCTAGTCTATAGTCTAGTCTAGTCTATAGTCTAGTCTAGTCTATAGTCTAGTCTAGTCTATAGTCTAGTCTATAGTCTAGTCTATAGTCTAGTCTATAGTCTAGTCTATAGTCTAGATATAGTATAGTCTATAGTCTAGTCTAGTCTAGTCTAGTCTATAGTCTAGTCTAGTATAGCTCTAGTCTAGTCTATAGTCTAGTCTAGTCTATAGTCTAGTCTAGTCTATAGTCTAGTCTTATAGTCTAGTCTATAGTCTAGTCTATAGTCTAGTCTATAGTCTAGGTCTATAGTCTAGTCTATAGTCTAGTCTATAGTCTAGTCTCTAGTCTAGTCTATAGTCTAGTCTATAGTCTAGTCTATAGTCTAGTCTATAGTCTAGTCTATAGTCTAGTCTATAGTCTAGTCTATAGTCTAGTCTATAGTCTAGTCTATAGTCTAGTCTATAGTCTAGTCTATAGTCTAGTCTATAGTTCTAGTCTCATGTCTAGTCTATAGTCTAGTCTATAGTCTAGTCTATAGTCTAGTCTATAGGTCTAGTCTATAGTCTAGTCTATAGTCTAGTCTAGTCTAGTCTATAGTCTAGTCTATAGTCTAGTCTATAGTCTAGTCTATAGTCTAGTCTATAGTCTAGTATAGTCTAGTCTATAGTCTAGTCTATAGTCTAGTCTATAGTCTAGTCTATAGTCTGTCTATAGTCTAGTCTATCGTCTAGTCTATAGTCTAGTCTATAGTCTAGTCTATAGTCTAGTCTATAGTCTAGTCTATAGTCTAGTCTATAGTCTAGTCATAGTCTAGTCTATAGTCTAGTCTATAGTCTTAGTCTATAGTCTAGTCTATAGTCTAGTCTATAGTCTAGTCTATAGTCTAGTCTATAGTCTAGTCTATAGTCTAGTCTATAGTCTAGTCTATAGTCTAGTCTATAGTCTAGTCTATAGTCTAGTCTATAGTCTAGTCTATAGTCTAGTCTATAGTCTAGTCTATATTCTAGTCTAGTCTAGTCTAGTCTATAGTCTAGTCTATATTCTAGTCTATAGTCTAGTCTATAGTCTAGTCTATATTTTAGTCTATAGTCTAGTCTTATAGTCTAGTCTATCGTCTAGTCTATAGTCTAGTCTATAGTCTAGTCTCTTAGTCTAGTCTAGTCTAGTCTATAGTCTAGTCTATAGTCAAGTCTATAGTCTAGTCTATAGTCTACAATATTTTTACCATGACTCCAATTCATCGAATTATTCGCAGTGATCAATAATATATTGGCAACCCTATTAATCTCCACTAGGACAGTTGTATCTAGTTTTAGTAGGTTTTATTTTCTTTATGACTTGCTGCTACAACATGTTATTGCTTTCCCGTTTCAATTATCTCTCTCGGCTAAAAAAAAAACATACAAGTCTAGTCTATAGTCTAGTCTATAGTCTAGTCTATAGTCTAGTCTATAGTCTAGTCTATAGTCTAGTCTATAGTCTAGTCTATAGTCTAGTCTATAGTCTAGTCTATAGTCTAGTCTATAGTCTAGTCTATAGTCTAGTCTATAGTCTAGTCTATAGTCTAGTCTATAGTCTAGTCTATAGTCTAGTCTATAGTCTAGTCTATAGTCTAGTCTATAGTCTAGTCTATAGTCTAGTCTATAGTCTAGTCTATAGTCTAGTCTATAGTCTAGTCTATAGTCTAGTCTATAGTCTAGTCTATAGTCTAGTCTATAGTCTAGTCTATAGTCTAGTCTATAGTCTAGTCTATAGTTTAGTCTATGTTAGTCTATGGTCTAGTATAGTCTAGTCTATAGTCTAGTCTATAGTCTAGTCTATAGTCTAGTCTATAGTCTAGTCTATAGTCTAGTCTATAGTCTAGTCTATAGTCAAGTCTATAGTCTAGTCTATAGTCTACAATATTTTTACCATGACTCCAATTCATCGAATTATTCGCAGTGATCAATAATATATTGGCAACCCTATTAATCTCCACTAGGACAGTTGTATCTAGTTTTAGTAGGTTTTATTTTCTTTATGACTTGCTGCTACAACATGTTATTGCTTTCCCGTTTCAATTATCTCTCTCGGCTAAAAAAAAACATACAAGTCTAGTCTATAGTCTAGTCTATAGTCTAGTCTATAGTCTAGTCTATAGTCTAGTCTATAGTCTAGTCTAGTCTATAGTCTAGTCTATAGTCTAGTCTATAGTCTAGTCTATAGTCTAGTCTATAGTCTAGTCTATAGTCTAGTCTATAGTCTAGTCTATAGTCTAGTCTATAGTCTAGTCTATAGTCTAGTCTATAGTCTAGTCTATAGTCTAGTCTATAGTCTAGTCTATAGTCTAGTCTATAGTCTAGTCTATAGTCTAGTCTATAGTCTAGTCTATAGTCTAGTCTATAGTTTAGTCTATAGTTTAGTCTATGGTCTAGTCTATAGTCTAGTCTATAGTCTAGTCTATAGTCTAGTCTATAGTCTAGTCTATAGTCTAGTCTATAGTCTAGTCTATAGTCTAGTCTATAGTCAAGTCTATAGTCTAGTCTATAGTCTACAATATTTTTACCATGACTCCAATTCATCGAATTATTCGCAGTGATCAATAATATATTGGCAACCCTATTAATCTCCACTAGGACAGTTGTATCTAGTTTTAGTAGGTTTTATTTTCTTT